AAAAAAATCAACTGTTGTTTTTCTTCCGTCCTGCTTCTCTGCTTTATGCCCTGAAGCCTGGGCCCTGCCGCCGGCTGCATGCAGCTCACAACTCTCCCAGGCAGGGCTGTTCAGAGTACCTGTTGCTCCTTCTCCCCTCCCCCTCCTCCTACAAGTAGCTCTGGCAGCTACGAGAGGCAGCTTCTTTATTTCTCCCAGTCTACCACCCAGCACCCGGGGTTTTGATCTGTGGTAGCTCTTCTGCGCAGATCCCATTCTCAGACATGCTGATGTGCAATTCGGGTGTTTTGTGTTGAGTTTTAGATGTTCAGCTTGTTTCAAGGAGAGAGATCTGGGGACGTCTCTCATTCCACTGTGTTTCCAAAGATCTTCCTAAAAAAAAGTAGTTTTGATCTGTGGTTGGTTGAATCTGAATATGGAGGGCCTTGTTTACTGTATGTTATTCATAAAATAAATATTTTTCTTTCAAGTGGCTATTGATGCAGGTTGACTATGATGTTTAATATAATGATTTGTATATATTGATTTCCTATTCAAATCATATACATGTGTATATGAATAATTTCATCAGATAAAGATTTTGGTGAATGGATATCATTTGCGTTAATTACTCTACTCTTTGGAGTTTGAAGTAAGCAAATTTTGAAAGTGTAGCGGTGATTATCACACGTAACTTAGTGGGTTACATATTTTATTTTATGGACTTTATGCTGTAATTAGAAGGTTTAGTAACCCATTCATTTATTTAAATACTTGTCAAGCCTATTTATTTTTACTTTATTCCTCTTCCTGGACTATAAAATTAGACAAGTTTAAAAGTTATTTTTTTATATTTTGAAATTATCCTTCTCTTAAGCTTCAAAGCTATTCTCCAAAATTTAGGAACATACTGATGATCCCCTGATCTAGGCTTTCTGTGGTTTTACAGATTTTAATGTATCGCCTATGACTCTTTGTTATTCCGGACTCTACAGTCCATTATATTTGTCCTAAAGTGGCAGAATCAGAATTGTATATAATATTCCATGGCTAGCACTGTAGATATATAAAAGATAGTGTTTTTTCTTTCGTTTATTTCTCTTTTGTATCTAAAGTCTCTTGGATTCCTTTTTTGTACTACTAAGGGTTGAACAATATTCTCAATGTTATGAGAGGAGCCTAGAGAGTCTAAGAACCTAAGCTGTAGCTTATCATGGGCCATAGTGGCAGTTACTCTACACCAAGAAAGCATTCTTTATTCTTTACCCATCTTAAGTACATGGAAATGGAGAAGGGTAAATTTTCGAATATGTGTCAGATTGCTAGTTTCACATAAACTATGTATTTAAATGGTATTTAATACTGTTTTAAAGGAAATAATGTTTGGTGTATATGTGCCTGTATACAAATGCATATTAAAATTTTTTTTTAGTATGGAAGAGAAACTGAACAGCTGAACAAACTCAGTAGAGGAGATGGAAGACAAAACCTCTTTTCTTTTGATTCGGAAGTTCAGGTATTAATAATATATTTATTTTCTAGAATTGTTGCTTATTCGTAAAAAAACAGTATCTTTTAAATGCTGAAATCACTGATTTTTGCACCACTGGGCAGTACTGATTGCTTTATATTTGTCTAGTTCACTTTGAACAGGTAGCTTAACAACTAACTTCACTCAAGGACTGTCACATATGTAAATAGTTTAGGACTGAATATATATGGTTTTCTTTCCCAGTTCCCTATATTCTTTACACTTTATCTCATGCCTCAAAATGGATAAATTCAAGAATCTTTAAAGATGGCGTCAGTGCTCTTTTCACCTATTAAATGCAATTGTAGTCGAATAGCGGTGAGTATCTGCAATATAGAAGAACACCAGGTCATATGAGACAGGTGATTTATTTTCCAGTTTTGATGTAGGCCTGTAGAACTGGGGTAATTTTTCATGTCTGGCTTACTCACTTTTAGAAGAAAGTGGTGTGAGTTTTTGTACATGTGTATTTTAACTTTTTTATGAGAGGCACTGTACAAAGAGATAAGCAATTAATATTTAATTTCATGGTATTTTCTAATTAAATTGCTGATTTGTTTAAATAAAAAAGTCTACAGTATTTTTAATTATTACAAATATTTTTTCTAACAGAAAAATTTCGTGAGAAAGGAAATCATTTGAGCAAAAATGAATTTTTTATTTTTCTACTTGAGATTTCTAATTAAAATCTTTGGGGTTTTTTTTTGAAATAGAAAAGTATACATTATATAAGCATTACAGTTTTTTTCTCTGTGAAAGTATATCATGGGCAAGACTGATTTTGTGTCTTCTTTTTGCTTCATAGTTTCCTAATTACAATTTTTTAATTGTAAAACTATATAGTCTGTAAATAATGCAGAAAATTTTCTTTAATAAAAATATCACATGAGAAAATAAAGTTAATTTGGGGAAAATTTGTCTTAATTGTTTCATCTTTACTTTCCCCCATATCATTATTACATTGTGTGTGTAAGTTATGATTTTTTAAAAAAAGTTTAGCAGGCTTCCAGAATGTTAGTTCTAAGATATTTATTCAGAAATTTCCTCGTTCCATGCGTGTCTGAGCCTTTATTTCCCTCCCTCCCCCAACCAGCTTGCTGCCCCATGATTGAGCTTTAATTGGACATGTCAGCCCCTTTCATTGTATACAAAGAAGCCAATTGACTGTGGTTGGAACTCAATCCAGTATCTTTAAAACATTTGTGTTGTGGTGTTTTTGTGGTCATGGAACTGAACTAATTTTATGTTTGAATTGTTTATCAGTGATCTACAAGTGAGAAAAAAATCATAATTGCAATGAAACTTTAAGGACAAAAAAAATTTGAACTTAATGTTGAGTATAGAAGGTAGTCTCTCCACAGAAATCCATGTTGTATGTGCTGAGTACCTCTTTTAGGTGAAGTGCCATCCTATAATATTAGCCTTCTCTTTTTTCCACAGTTCAGTGTTTAAAGATATGCTTTCTATCATTGATCTTAGAGAATAAAGAAACACTTACTGACTGAAGAGGGTGGCTCTAACTTTGAACTGCTAGGGAAGGCCATATGTCCCAACATTTGTACTTAGAGGCATCAGAAGGAAAAAGATTTTGGGGCTGGGGTGGTTTAATCCAGTTTCTCTTCACATTCCACTGTCTGCATAAGATAGAAAGGAAAGCAGATAAATGGGCAGAAATTAGAATTGATCTCCATGGCAATGACTCGCTTCTGGCTTCACAGATACATAAGTCTTCAAGGGGAAGCTGTCTAGTCCCACACATTTGTATTCCTTTTGTAGATGAATAGATTGGGGGGGGGGTAGTTGTGCTTTCAGGTATGAATATCATATTTTAGGCCCTTTTAAGGAGGATTTTGTTAGTGATACAGGTTAGGTCAGAATGGCTATAATTATCCAAAACACTTTAGGCATAGTACCTGTTTTGACTTAAGTTGCTTTGGCAGTTGCGAAAAATTCTTGTGTTTCTTGGCTTGAGTTTTCCATGTTAGCAATATTTTCTGCTCATATTCACCCAATCATTTCCTACCTACCATGTCCCTGGGCTTAATGAAAGTACAGTAAGTTGTTCCACAATCTATACTATCCCTCCCATCTGTGAACAGAATGTGAGTCTGTTCAGACATTTTGAATTAACAGACAAACTTATGTTGCCTGAGCTGTGTGAGTTGAGGAGTCTATGAGTTTCTTTGGGAAAGACAGATTCCTTCTCTGGTAGGAATTCTTGACTCCCAATATATATGTTTAAAGTTTTAAAGTCTTTTATAATACCAAGATCTATAGCTATATATCCATGGTGGCCAGGGTACATCCCCCAGCTCTGTTAGAAGCTGAGCTCAGTGTTTCCTAAGCAGACGCCTCTCTTCTCCCTCTGTTCATCATTTAATTGTAGGTGGCTACCAGTGTTCCAATCTTGTCCTCCTTCTCAACCTAGTTGCCACTGACTCCCAAATCCAGATCTCCAACCCAGACCTCTCCTATTTTTCCAACCACTTACTAACATCACCTCAAGCTCAACACATCCCAAACAACTCATCATCTGTACTCATTCTTTCTCCCCTGTATATGCTGTTCATCTTTATTTCAAAATTAAGTTCATAATATCACAATCTACTGAATCTTCCTAGGTAGAGACCATTGTGTAATTTTTGAGGCCTCCCATATCCACTTATGTCTATTTTGCCTTCTGCACAGGTCATAAAAGAAACAAAACTCCTATCATCCTGGAACATTTATTTTGTGGGAAGACAAACAATTAGCAACTAAATAAATATTAAAAAATAATGTTAGAAAACTAGATCGAAGAAAGGGAGTATAGATTCTTGGAGAGTGTACAGCTTTTTTTTTTTTTTTTTAATAGAGAGTTAAGGAAGGTCTCTGGAAATGCCAGTTGAATGAAATGGGGGAATAAGCCATGTATCTATGTGAGAAAAGAGGGTTCCTGACAGAACAGCAGTACAAAGGCACTGAGGTGAGAGTGTTCTTGGTGTGCTAGAGAAATAACAGGATGCCAGTGTGGCTGGAATAGAGGGTAAGGGAAATACAAAAATGGTAGGAGATGAGATCAGAGGAGTGAGAAGAGGTAGGAATTCATGTCATATGGGGCTTTGTAGATAATGGTACACAATTGTCCATTGCCTTAGATCAGAGTCTCATCATCTCCCTCCAGAATTTCTTTGTTTTTACATTAGTCTAAAAGTTCTACAAAGACTTGTTGAATGAAAAAATAAGAAGGGTTCAAAATGAAGAATGGTCAGAGAACTGTTGGATTCTGCATTTTTTCTTATAAGTTTATATTAATATGAACTGATTATTAATATAATAATATTAATAATCAGTTCATATGGAAATGATTCATGTTATGTGTCTTTTAGAGGTTGGACTTCTCAGGAATTGAACCTGATATAAAGCCATTTGAAGAAAAGTGCAATAAACGTTTCCTGGTAAATTGCCATGATTTAACTTTCAATATCTTGGGTCAAGTTGGAGACAATGCAAAAGGACCACCCACAAACGTACGTATGACTTTTCCTTCTACCTCCTTTAAACCAGTGCATTAGGGAAACTCCTTTCTTTTTTATCACTGAGAACTAATTTACTGGATGAAAATTCCATTGCTACATGTTTTGATAAATTTGGCGTGGAAGAATTTCATACATGTCTGTCTTTTGCCGAAATGTGTCTTCATCTTGAGGAGAATTATGAAAGTCTTACCTATTCATATAGAGATAGAGTAGGCTCTCAAGAGGGACATGTCCCCAGAACCTGGAAAAATCCTCAAATTTGTGAACTCTACTAGAAAATGCGACTTCCTTGAAATTGGCTTATAGCCATGAGTAATGAACACCAGAGCCATGCAGGGGTACAGATGCTGTGCAGTCAGCTAGCCTTGCTCACTGTTCTCAGAGTAAATTCATTTTGTTCTGCATAGAAATTTCTAATTATTAGCTATCACAGATCATTTGAGTTGCTCAGAAATACTTGAAACTATAAATATAATATTGCCAGAGAGACTGCATTTTGTGTTCATCTTGGATTTTTGGTTCTAGTTTTGTCTTTGGAAAATATCTACAATGATTTATTCTCTAAAAAGTAGCTGAAAGGCACTAGCAGACTTTCTGTGTGTAAAGGGTTAATCTTTATGCCATCTGGCATGAAATTTCTCTTTGTGACTAGCTTTCAAATGCCATCTGTAGAGAGGAATCATGTCTTCCAAAACTGCTGAAGGGGCAACAAAGCTTTTGTCAAGTAATTTGATGTTGAATGACATAGTTCTTATGAAATGTATAATCCAGTAAGCTGTAACATAACAAAAAGGAAGATGTATTTCTACTATATAATATTGGCATTATTTTCAGGTAATTTCAATAAACCTGTAGAGAATTAAATTTTATTCATAGAACAATTAGTGTTCTTTCAATTTGACTTCTGATTTCTAGTTATTTTAAAACATGTATAATTTGTGAAATTATTTACATCCGATGAAAGCGAAAATTTGATAGCCTGTTATTTAGAGTGTTCTTTCTTATATGCAAATGAACTATAACACAATTTTTAGCTAAATGTTGAACTCAGGAACTGTAATTCTGGAAACTTGAGGAATAAAAAAAATTATTTTGTAATTTGTGTCCCTCACCCCACTCCACCTATTAGTTTAAAAATGGAATTGTCAAAAAAAAAAAAAAAAGGAATTGCCCTCCTTCCCAGGTCGAACCATTTTTTATCAATCTTGCCTTATTTGATATAAAGAACAATTGTAAGATTTCAGCTGACTTCCACATAGACCTGAATCCTCCATCTGTCCGCGAAATGCTGTGGGGCACTTCAACCCAACTGGCCGGTGATGGAAATGCAAAATGCTCTTCACCCGAGTCTTTCATTCACGGAATTGCTGAATCTCATTTACGCTACATAAAACAGGTAAAGAATGAACTTTTAGATTTGGTAGCACCTTCAGAATTAAAAAAAAAAAACCAAAAAAACAGACACTCTTGGGTTATATCATCGTTTCAGGCCAGTGTTTTCATGGACATTCCACCTCTTGCAAAGTCTATGTATATAGGTGTTTTTCTAATGACTGAAGGTGGAGGGAAAAAATGGAAACCAGCAAATATGCTAGTAATATATTGGCAAAGTAACATTTTCAATGGGACCATGATATGAGTCTCAAAGGAAGTATTTTGTGAGATAGAATACAGGTAACACAAAAACACACAAATATACACCTACAGATATAGACA